AAATAATAGACCAATTTCAGTGATGAATGTAGATGCAAATATCCTCAACAAAATACTAGCAAACAGAATCTAACAACACATTAAAAGGATCATACACCATGATGAAGTGGGGTTTATCCCACGGATGCAAGGATTCTTCAATACACGCCAATCAATATGATACACCATATTAACAAATTGAAGAATAAAAACCATATGATCATCTCAATAGATACAGAAAAAGCTTTTGACAAAATTCAACACCCATTTATGATAAAAACTCTCCAGAAAGTGGGCATAGAGGGAACCTACCTCACCATAATAAAGGCCATATACGACCAACCCACAGCAAACATCATTCTCAATGGTGAAAAACTGAAATGAAAGCATTTCCTCTAAGATCAGGAACAGACAAGGATGTCCACTCTCACCACTATTATTCAACATAGTTTTGGAAGTCCTAACCATGGCAGTCAGAGGAGGAAAAGAAATAAAAGGAATACAAATTGGAAAAGAAGAAGTAAGACTGTCACTGTTTGCAGATGACATGATACTATACATAGAGAATCCTAAAGATGCCACCAGAAAACTACAAGAGCTAATCAATGAATTTGGTAAAGTAGCAGGATACAAAATCAATGCACAGAAATCTCTTGCATTCCTATACACTAATGATGAAAAATCTGAAAGAGAGATTAAGGAAACAGTCCCATTTACCATTGCAACAAAAAGAATAAAATACCTAGGAATAAACCTACCTCGGGAGACAAAAGACCTGTATGCAGAAAACTATAAGTCACTGATGAAAGAAATTAAAGATGATACCAACAGATGGAGAGATATACCATGTTTTTGGATTGGAAGAATCAGTATTGTGAAAATGACCAAACTACACAAAGCAATCTACAGATTAAGTGCAATCTCTGTCAAATTACCAATGGCATTTTTTAACAGAACTAGAAGAAAAAAATCTTAAAATTTGTATGGAGACACAAAAGACCCTGAATAGCCAAAGCAGTCTTGAGGGAAAACAACAGAGCCGGAGGAATCAGACTCCCTGACTTCAGACTATAGTACAAAGCTACAGTAATCAATACAATATGGTTCTGGCACAAAAACAGAAACATAGATCAATGGAACAGGATAGAAAGCCCAGAGATAAACCCACACACCTATGTTCTACTAATCTATGACAAAGGAGGCAAGGATATACAATGGAGGGAAGACAGTCTCTTCAATAAGTGGTGCTGGGAAAACTGGACAGCTACATGTAAAAGAATGAAATTAGAACACTCCCTAACACCATACACAAAAATAAACTCAAAATGGATTAAAGAACTCAATGTAAGACCAGGCACTATAAAACTCTTAGAGGAAAACATAGGAAGGACACTGTTTGACATAAATCACAGCAATATCTGTTTTGATCCACCTCCTAGAGTAATGGAAATAAAAACAAGAATAGAGCTTCCCTGGTGGCGCAGTGGTTGAAAGTCTGCCTGCTGATGCAGGGGACGCAGGTTCGTGTCCCGGTCCAGGAAAGATCCCACATGCCGCGGAGTGGCTGGGCCCATGAGCCGTGGCCACTGAGCCTGCGTGTCTGGAGCCTGTGCTCCACAACGCGGGAGGCCACAATAGTGAGAGGCCCGCGTACCACAAAAAATAAATAAATAAGTAATAAATAAACAAATGGGACCTGATGAAACTTCAGAGCTTTTGCACAGCAAAGGAAACCACGAACAGGGTGAAAAGACAACCCTCAGAATGGGAGAAAATATTTGCAAACGAATCAACAGACAAAGGGTTAATCTCCAAAATATATAAACAGCTCATGCAGCTCAATATTAAAGAAACAGGTAACCCAATCCAAAAGTGGGCAGAAGACCTAAATAGATATTTCTCCAAAGAACACATACAGATGGCCAAGAAGCACATGAGAAGCTGCTCAGCATCACTAATTATTAGAGAAATGCAAATCAAAACAACAATGAGGTATCACTTCACACCAGTTAGAATGGGCATCATCAGAAAATCTACAAACAGCAAATGCTGGAGAGGGTGTGGAGAAAAGGGAACCCTCTTGCACTGTTGGTGGGAATGTAAATTGATACAGCCACTATGGAGAACAGTATGGAGTTTCCTTAAAAAACTAAAAATGGGCCCCCCCTCGTGCCGCAGTGGTTGAGAGCCCCCCTGCTGATGCAGGGGACACGGGTTCGTGCCCCAGTCTGGGAAGATCCTACATGCCGCGGAGTGGCTGGGCCCGTGAGCCATGGCCGCTGAGCCTGTGCATCCGGAGCCTGTGCTTCACGACGGGGGGAGGCCACAACAGTGATAGGTCTGCGTACCGCAAAAAAAAAAAAAAAAACCTAAAAATAGAATTACCATATGATCCAGCCATTCCACTACTGGGCATATTCCCAGAGAACGCCATAATTCAAAAAGACAAATGCACCCCAGTGTTCATTTCAGCACTGTTTACAATAGCCAGGTCATGGAAGCAACCTAAATGCCCATCAACAGACAAGTAGATAAAGAAGTTGTGGTACATATGTGCAATGGAACGAAATTGGGTCATTTGTTGAGTCGTGGATGGAGCTAGAGACTGTCATACAGAGGGAAATAAGTCAGAAAGAGAAGAACAAATATTGTATATTAACGCATGTATGTGGAACCTAGAAAAATGGTACAGATGAACCGGTTTGCAGGGCAGAAGTTGAGACACAGATGTAGAGAACAAACGTATGGACACCGCGGGGGAAAGCCGCGGCGGGGTGGGGATGGTGGTGTGATGAATTGGGAGATTGCGTTTGACATGTATACGCTGATGTGTATAAAATCTATGACTAATAAGAACCTGCTGTATAAAAAAATAAAGTAAAATTCAAAAAAAAAATAATACCAATGCTGTGGAACTTCCCTGGCAGTCCAGTGGTTAAGAATGCGAGCTCCAGATGCAGGGGGCACAGGTTCAGTTCCTGGTTGGGGAACTAATAAGATCCCACGTGCTGCACGGCACAGCCTAAATAGATAAATAAATACTGATGCTGCTAAGTATTTTTTGCATATTTCATGTAATCTTCACTGCTCTCATAAGGTAAATACTCTTTATTTCTCTAGGAAATTGAGGTGCAGATGTTAAATACTAAAATACTTTAGAAAAGTGTTGAATGAGAAGTGAAACATGGGATTATAGTTAGCCAAAATCATAGTAAGCTTTAGCTATTAAAATAATTTTCTTAATCAGATTAATAACAGTTTTGTCAAAGAATTCTGATGAGTGGAGATTTTACTGTAGAGAGGCTTCTGGGGTCTTCCCATTCCCACTTAATCCTAATCCTCTGCTGTAATGAGTTTTTCCTCTCCATTTTTACTTTGGAATCCTATACTGAAAAAGAATCAGGAGTTTATCGCAGATATAGGGGCATGTTTTGGGTTTTGTTGGAAGTTACGCGGGAGAAGCAGCTGATTGGAGTTCACAGGTAGAACACGTATCTTATGACGGTGCCACCAGCGTGCCTGCCTCCAGCGGGCTGCTGATTTATCATTGCTACTAGACAAGGAAATCCAAATGCTTGCTGGCGGAGAGGCGAGGGAGTTGTAGCCCCTGCCATAACAGGAGGAACGGTCATTATTTTACTGAATTGTGGGACAGAATTTCATATGTGAAATTATGGTTAGAAGCTGAATTCATTTGTTTTTATATAAAGCTTTTTTCTGGGATTTAAGTGTTACATTATTTAATATAGATATCAGCTACTAAGGAAATGGGAGGTTGAAAGTGCTTTGAGAAAAACAAAATTCAATCTTGTGATTTGGTTTAAATGTATGTTTCCAGAATTGCATGTGCTTTCCTTTTCTGTCTAAATCACAATGTGAGTGGCTTCTGGTTAACAGTTTCATAGAACCGTATACATACACCCAGGCCCCAAGCTCAGCAATGTGAATCAAATAATAATTCATGACTCTAGAAGTATAAATAGGACCGCAATTCTTGACTTTGAGGAACTAACTCATACTCCCTTAACCCATCCCCGCTGTACACATAAGTCTGGATTTATGTCTGTATATTTAAAAGCCTGGTAACATTGTAGCACCCACCAGACCCCACCTTCCGCTTCTCTGAAGCAGGGCAGTAAGGGAGCAAATGTTGGCTATTTTTAGGCCACTTTAAGCTGATCAGTCACTGACTGGCACACCCTTAGAGGCTATTTCAGTTCAGTAACAAGTGCCAGAAGATAATGTTTCTGTGGCGGGAGAGGATAGTTGTAGAGTTCATCCATCAGAAATACGGCCCAAGTCCACTGGTACAAGAGTGGATGTTGCTATATCCTCATAGTAGAAGTTGCTGTGTGTAAACTAAGGAGGAGGACTTTGGGGAATGGGTATGATCAAACAGTGCTTGGGCTTGGACTTACTACAGAAGACTGAGAAGAGAGGAAACAGAGGAGGTACAGTAGGAAGAGTAGCATGACCGAGGGAATGGTGAAGTTTCTTGAAGCCAGTCATGGGAAGCTCATACACTGTGTTGCCACTCTGGGGACTTAAAAAGTGACCTTACTGAAGCCAGTGCTGGAGTCAGTGATTTGACAGTAGTGTTAAGACTGTCTAAGAGGGAATTCTGAGACTGGGAAACCAACTGGGGAAGTGCCCAGAGCCTAGACTAAATCTTCATAGAGATTTAGGAGGGAAAAAAGGGCAGATATTTTCTAGCAGTGATATTCAGGTTACGTATAGCTCTTGAGCCAAAGTTGATTATTTTGCCTATCACCACGACACATTAACCTTCTAGAACATAATAATTCTATTCTAGGATTTCTAAAATGACTTGTGATTGTATATACAACATAGGGCAAAAGCGCTGGGTGGGAAATGAGCTTTTTCTGTGAGTTTTGGTTTGAGTACCAGTTTCTCTATTGTTATTAAGAATATGTCTCTAACATATCCATATAGATGTAACTATCTGACCATCATCAAAAAACTGCTTTTAACATTTCAAGATGATACACCTCTCATTACAGCTATAGGGGTCCGGTTCCGTGGTACACTATAAATCTCGATTTACCACCGTACAAAAGATGGCATGAATTGATGGTTGACAAGGCACCAGCGGTATGCTATGATTCTTAAATCTTTTGTTTCTGACTTTACCGGATATAATTGCATTTGAAAGAAAACGTCATGATATTATGTACCAAGTATTTTAAGAATCTGCTTTCCATGGTTCTCTGCCATTTACAATAAATGATAGTAGAGGAAAGATGTCATTTCTCTGTAGCATATTGCTCTTCTTACTAGCCTTTGCCTTTGTTTCTTTAGCTCATATCATATGCATCATCTAAATGGTTAATCAAATGTCATGTTAAAGATGTGTTTACATATACGTTTTTAAATAGTACTCCTCTATTTAGCTGCATATGGGTAAGTCAAAAGGTCTAGATCTGTTTTCATTATACCAGTATTAATCTTAAATGTCAACACTTCTTTATGTCTCTTATCAACTTTTAAATTTATTTTTCAGCTAAAAGTTATAGTGAATTCCCTGAAAAATATGATAAATGCATTTGAGCCAAGTGGAAAAATTGTGCAGTTAGTGGATCAAAAGTTGGTAAGAAATATTATTTCCTACAATAAATGTTAAACACACGCAGGTACACATATACACACGAGTTCAGCAAAGGCTCTGTTACTTATTTAAAGGCATAATTTGGACAAGTGTGCTTTTATTCCAGACTACTGTCAAAACTTCAGAGGGACTTAAAATTCTGGGGCTTGGTAATATTATAGTAATAGGACATAAAACAGCATGGCAAATTTTGGCAGTTAGCTGCTCTTTAATGTTTTATAAAAGTATGAACTGTTTTACAGAGCATTGGGCAAATATCCATATTTCATCTGGGAGTACAGCATTTCCTTCTGTTATGTGTACTTAGGTTTGCAAGTTCACTATTGAAAATTTGGGTTTTTCTTAAGTACTTCGCCTGAGCATGTCAAGACACTGAGCGATGTTCTAGATATGACCAAATGACACGCTCAGCCCAGCCCTGTCCTGCCCCTCAGTAGCTGTGACCATTGAAACGCACTTGGGTTGTGTGTTTCGTGTCTTTGTGCGTTCACCAGACCATTTCATTTCTTGGTCATGCAGGAAGATTCCATTTCTCAGACCCTTTTTTTATTTAGATGAAACCAGTAGAAAATCTAGGGCCTGGCCCCTAGAGCCCCCAGAGAGATCCTCATCACCCTCTTTCAGTCTTTGCTTTGGGGCCCTCACCAGCTGGCAGGGTGCAAAGGATTGGGGAGGAAACCAAGGCCCTAGGGCAGATGTTTTAACTTCAATAGTGATGACATGTGGGATTGGATAATATTTTGTCGTGGGCACTGTCTGTGCATTGTAGGATGTTGAGCAGCGTCCTTGGCCTCGACTCACTGGATGCCAGTGTCAGTTGTGACAACCAAAAATGTCTCTAGACTTCACCAGATCTCCCCTGGGGGGAAAGCCATCCCCGGTTGAGAATCATTGTCCTAGAGGCTGGACGTTCCAGGCATACCATCCCTATGACACTTGTACCTGCCAACCACCAAACCTGTTATTCCTCGTGTTTATGCTCTCAGAGCCTTTGATTAAGGCTCTCCTTTATGTTCATACTCTCCAGACTTCCCCAAAATACAAATGTTGGCAGAAGCAGTAGCAGAAGAGGCCCCCAGGTGCCCCAGGTGCCCTAATCCCCCTAACCTGCATGTCATCAGGGAGGGCAGCATGCAGAAGGTTTAGGTGCCCAGGCTCCGCAATCAGACATTAGGGGTTTTGTTTGTTCTTTAAACATTGGATGTTAAGGTTAGATCAGTCACACACTAGCTGTGTGTCCTTCGACGAGTTTCTTAACATATGCAACTTCAGATTTCTCACCAGGGAGAATATTTACTAATAATACATATTTCATACGGTGGTTGTGAGGATTAAACGACTTACTGTATGTAAAGGCCAGTGCTTGCATGTAAAAAATGGTAAACAACTGTTCAGTAAGTCATTTTCGTTTGTTAAATTGGCAGGAGTATTCCACTTGTGCAATGCTTTGAATTCCTAGGCAGAAGAATGATTTGCCTAGTTAGATAACATTACATATAATTACCAAGTTGGTAATTATCTTAGCAAGAGGCTGTAAGCTTAATTCTTGATCTAATTGTTAGTGAATAGTTGCAGTTGAGAATAAAAGTATATATGAATGGGTAAAGAGGATGTGGCATATATATATATATATATATATATATATATATATATATACATACAATGGAATAATACTCAGCCATAAAAAAGAATGAAATCCTGCCATTTGCGACAACATGGAAAGACCTAGATGGTATTATGCTAAGTGAAATAAGTCAGAGAAAGACAGATACTGTATGTTGTCACTTACATGTGGAATTTAAAAAACAAAACAAATGAACAAACGTTAAGAAAACAGAAACAGAGTCATACATACAGAGAATAAACAGGTAGTTGCCAGAGGGGAGAGGGGTTGGGGGGAAGAGAGGAACAGGTGAGGGAAATTAAGAGGTACAAACTTAAAGTTACAAAATAAGAGTCATGGGTATAAAATGCACAGTGTGGGGAATATAATTAATAATAATAATTTAACGTCTTTTTATGGTGACAGATATAACTAGACTTGATCATTTTTAAATGTATAGAATATTGAATCACCGTGTTGTGTACTGGGAACTAACATAGTGTTGTAGGTCAATTATACTTCAAAAACAAAGTAACTCATAGAAAAAGAGATCAGATTTGGGAAGGTGGATTGGATGAAGGTGGTCAAAAGGTACAAACTTCAGTTACAAGATAAATAAGTACTAGGGATGTAATGTACAGCATGATGATTGTAATTAACACTGCTGTGTGTTACATATGAAAGTTGTTAAAGGAAAAAATCCCAAGAGTTCTCATCACAAGAAAAAAATTTTTCTTTTTTTTAAAATTTTATATTTATTTGAGATGATGGATGTTCATTGAACTTATTTTGGTAATCACTTAATGATATATATAAATCAAACCATGCAAAAAAAAGTATGTATTTCCACCATTTAATTTGCTCATGTGTCCATTGTTTACTAACAGGATGTGGTAATGCATCTCAGCCTAAGGTTGGCTGTTAACCATGACAAATGTTTTGTGAATCGCTAGAATACAGATTTGTTGCTATGAGTGTGGGAAGGGAATAGTACATTAGTACCCTTCATCCTTGGGAGATACATTCCAAGACCCCCAGTGGACGCCTGAAACCGTAGATAGTACTGAACCCTATGTGTACTTTGCTTTTTTCCTATAAGTACATACCTATAAGTTTAATTTTTTAATTAGGCACAGTAGGAGATTAACAACTAATAATAAAATAGAACAATTATAACAGTACAGTGTAATAAAAGTCACGTGAATGTGCTCTCTCTCTCAAGCTATCGTACTGTCCTGTACTCACCCTTCTTGTGACGATGTGAGATGATTAAATGCTTACACGATGAGATGAAGTGAGGTGAATGAAGTGGGCATTGTGATGTACCATTAGGCTACTAGTGACCTGACATTACTTCAGAAGCAGGAGCATCTGCTTCTGGTGATCCTGGATCATCAAGCCATGACTAAGCTGATGGTTGAACGTCAGGAGCAGACAGTGTCAGTGGTTGGGGACCCCAGGTGGGACAGGGTAGGATGGCAGGAGATTTCATCATGCTACTCAGAATGTCATGCAATTTAGCACTCATGAATTGTTTACTTCTGGGATTTTCCATTTAATATTTTTGGGCTGTAGTTGACCTTGGGTAACTGAAACCTCAGACAGCAAAACCACGGTCAAGGAAGGACAGCAGTAATGAGGGTGTGATGCTAATGGCTAGAGGGCAAGTTTGAGCAGAGATGAGGAATGCTTGTTGTGATGTTCCTGTGTTGTGAGCCATGTTAGGACATCCAAGTGGAATTATTCTAGTTCATCTCTCTAGAGAATAGGGTGGACTATAAGGCAAGAAAAAACAATCTGAGAATCATAGGTCTCTGCCTAGTACTTGAGATGAGTTTATGGGGCACACAAGCAAGAGTTATAGGGGCCCAATAGTGAGTATTACATAGAATCTTTTAGAAATTCATGATGTGAAAGTGCTTTCAAAAGTAAGCTTTGATCATCTATTATGGCAGCAATAGCTAGTACGAATTATATGTAAAAGAACCAAATCTCAAAGCCACACTTTAGGCTGAATGACTGTTAGTGTATTTGTTTTTCAGCCTGGTCTACTTGGCAACTTTCCTGAGCCTTTCGAGGAGGAAATGAAGGGGATTGCAGCAGTTACTGAAATACCTTTAGGTAAAGTTCACTTGGCAGCTCTTTTTCTTTTTGTGGTACGCGGGCCTCTCACTGTTGTGGCTTCTCCCATTGCGGAGCACAGGCTCCGGACGCACAGGCCCAGCGGCCATGGCTCACGGGCCCAGCCGCTCCGCGGCATGTGGGATCTTCGCAGACCGGGGCACGAACCTGTGTCCCCTGCATCGGCAGGCGGACTCTCAACCACTGAGCCACCAGGGAAGCCCCCACTTGGCAGCTTTTAAAACATTGAATAAAGTACTTAAAATTTTTTTTATTGAGGTATGGTGTACATACAATAAAGTGCACAGATCTTAAGTATACAGCACAATAGAATTTTTTAAATGCATACATGCATGTAATCACAACTCAGAACAAGATACAGAAATAAATTCCAGCAATCCAGCACGCTCCATCCTGCACTTTCACACAGTTCTGAGTCCCCTGTTAACCACTGTTCTGACTTCACTGTAGATTAATTTTGCCTCTTGAACGTCTTACAAATAGAGCCGAACAGTATGAACTGTTGTCTGGTTTCTTGCACTTATCATTATAGGTAGTAGGCTATTGTATGAATAGGATATTTGTTGTTTCCAGATTTGGGATATTAAGAATAAAGCAGTTATGAACACTCTGGTACATGTCCTTTGATGGGCATACGCACTCATTTCTCTGCGATATGTCCTGGGTCATAGGGTAGCTATATGTTTAGCCTTATACACTCTGCCAGCCAGTTTTCCAAAGTGATTATACCCATTGACAGTCAACCTAGTACAAGAGTTTTCGTTTTCTCCACTTGCTAATTCTCCACGTGATAGTCTCAGTGTTTTATTTGGTCCACTTTGTCGAGCGTGTTATATTCGCGCATTATTATTTAATGTGCATTTCCCTGATGACTAATGAGATTGAACAGTTTTTTTACTTTTCCTTTCTTCCTTGCTTTCTTCTTCCCTTCCTCCCTCCCTCCCTCCTTCCTTCATTGTGCTTGTTAAATCTAATGCCCATTTTAATTGGTTTGAAGGAATTCTTTATATGTATACTGATACAGGTCCTTTGTCAGATATATGTATGCCAAACATCTCCCACACTGTAGCTTGCATTTATTTTCTTATTGGTGTCTTTTGATGAACAGAAATTCTTAATTTTAAGGCAGTCCAGTTTTTCAGTTTTTTGGTGGGTAGTGCTTTTTATGCCCATTTAAGTGATCTTTGCCTACCCCCAAACATATTCTTCTTTGTTTTCTTCTGTATGTTTTTTGTTTACTTTTTTCATATAGGCTCATTGTGTATCTTGAATTAACTTTTGCATATGATATGAGTTATGGATCAAGGTTCAAGTTTTTTCCAATTGACAACACCGTTTATTAAAAAGACTATCATTCCCTCAGTAAATTGCAGTGGTGCCTTTGATATAAATCACATGATTGCATGTATCTGATTCTATTTGGGGATTTTCCACCTAGTTTCATTTGTCTGTTTGTCTTTTCTTACACCAGTACTATGCTACTGCAATTACTAAAGCTTTATAGTAAGTCTTAATATTAGGTACTGTAAGTTTTCTAACTTTGTATTTTTCTTTAAAATTCTCTTAGGTATTCTAGACCCTTTGCATTTCCACATAAATTTTAGAATCAACTTGACAAAAGAACCTACTGATATTTTCAGTGGGATTATAATACTGAGTTTTCGAAGCCACAAACTTGGTATATGAGATTTCAGCATTTATTTAGGTTATTGATTTCTCTGAGCAGTATTTTTTATTTTCAGGGAAGAGGTCTTGCATATCATTCATTCATCAGATCCTTTGTTATATCATTTATCATATTCTTCATATTCAATCATATCCTTAAATTAAGTATTGATGTTTTTGGACGCTGTTTTTAAAATTTCCATTTCCAATTTATAGCACTTAATTGAATGAAAAAGACTTTTTCTGTCACCCCAAAAGTTTTATTTTTAAGCCATCAAATCAATAGAGTTGTTATTTTAAGTAAACTCTATATACCTTGGTTTTACAAGAGATGACTGAGAATTTCTAAAAATCAATAGTATGTATCAACAAAAGTGGCTAGATTTTTTTTGTTTTTGCTTCTTTAAAAAGATAACATACTAGAAATATATTTTTTCAGTCTATATGAGAAATATCTTTAATTCCTTTATTATGTAAAGGACTCTAGCAAATGAATACCACGTATAACTCAAGAGAAAGATGGATTGAGAAGATTAACAGATGAGTCATAATAAAATAAGAGTGGAATTTCACCAAAACAGAAATCAAATGGAAATAAAATAAAGATTAGGGTGGGAAAAAAACATATTAAGCTTAACATGTTAACATGAAATGGAACAGAGAAAAAGTGTGTTGTATACCTTCAAGTTAAATGCTGAGTGGTATTATTGTACACGTTAGGAAAAATGTTCAAAAATTAAAAATGTTTTACAATGGAATTTCTTGATAAGCTCAGCGCTTATTTTATTGTCTCTTTTCTCACCTTAGAAATATTAGTCACACTCTAAAAACCTGGGCAAAATACATTTTCAGCATCCAACCAAGACCCAGATGTATTAAATTATCATATTTGAGCCCTCCAAAGAAAACTAAAATGAAGCATATTGACGAAAAATGTGGACATTATGTTGCCGTATAATTCCAACATGCCCAGATGTTCAGCTTGTCAAATAGCTGCTTCTCTGGGGACTCGTTTTATCTTGAATCTGCAGAGAGTACAGGCTACTGAGACACCTCCACCCAACCAGCCATTCAGACTCACTCAGACTGTCTTTGGACACTTAAGTATGCCCAGGCAGAAACTCACACGGCGATGATATTTCAACCTTTTTTTTTTTTTTTTTTGCATCTTTATTGGAGTATAATTGCTTTACAGTGGTGTGTTAGTTTCTGCTTTATAACAAAGTGAATCAGTTATACATATACACATGTTCCCATATCTCCTCCCTCTTGCTTCTCCCTCCCTCCCACCCTCCCCTTCCCACCCCTCCAGGCGGTCACAAAGCAGAGCTGATCTCCCTGTGCTTTGCAGCTGCTTCCCACTAGCTATCTACCCTACGTTTGGTAGTAATATATGTCCATGCCTCTCTCTCTCGCTTTGTCACAGATTACCCTTCCCCCTCCCCATATCTCAGCCTTTTCTTAAAAAAAGAATTTTCTAACAATGTCATGGTTCTATATATTGACCAAAAGTTTCCTGTCTTTTCTCATAGGAGAGATTATTTCATTCAATATTTTCTATGAATTTTTTACCATTTGTACTTCAATAATAACAGAAGACAAAGAAGGTAAATAAATGTGTGCTGAGGGAAGGTGGGTGGTACAAGGTACAAAGTAGAAGAAAAATCTTTAACTAAATGAAATTAGAACTTGTAAAATACAGGCTTGCTATGTAAATAACATGTGCATGTTGCGTATGGTTTTATAGATCTTGGTAAGTTTTTGAAAGTGAATTGAAAGCTGTTCTTATTTTAAGACCACTGTAATGCCTATTAAAGTTTAATTCAGGTATGCAAAACTCTTGGAAGAAGTGTTTCAGGATTATAAACATTCTTAACTATTCTTCATAGTCTACTTATACCCCTATTTATGATTTGATATAAGTACTCACAGGGGCAGGACAGACTTTCTCCCATCATTTTCCAGCCAAGGGACCCCGTGCTCACTTTTCCATGTTTTTCCTGACAAGTCCCCAGTGTACAAGGCACAGGATGATTTACCCTGATTCACTCTTATTTTTGACCTGTTCTCTGGGTATAGCTGTAGGTGACAATCCCTGAAGGGAAGCATGTTGGTAAGTTGCATTAGATGAGGGTGAGATAGCTGTGTCTGAGTAGGACTGTATCATAGTGAACCACAAAATGACCACCTACCCTTGTCCCATATTCCAGTCTCAGTTCTCTGGAACCCTGTGCTCTCAGGTGTTGGGGGGGAATCTGGCCAACGTGACAGGGACAGCAGTTTGATCTTGTTACAGCCTATGATATTAGATGCTGCTTAATTCTTATTGTTGGATTGAACAGTTGGGAATATCACTTAACCAAAATTAAGTGACCAGCTTTGGTTTAGAATGAATCATACTGTCATAATTGCTGTTACATGTCTCTTCTGCTTACTTTGAATTAGGTCATCTACTACATGCGCGAAACATGGATTTTGGAGTATTTCTTGGGTAAGTAAAAAATGTGGTGTGTCTCAGTCCCTAAGAAGAGTAGGTTGTATTACACTAATGAAAAGTAAGTCCCAAGTCATTCCCAGAATATGACCAGAAGTAGAGGTCCTAGATTCCATAGTTTTGAGACCAGGTGGGCACACTCTTATTCAGTTATTTGAGAGTTTGTAGCTGAGGTGCACCCAGTGGACGGAAATCTGGAGCATGCTTGAAGGCCCTAGATGCACGTCTAGTTTATTGCTTAGAAGGAAGAGTAGCATTCTATTTCATGTGTCTTCTTGACCTTTCTGAAAAAAATGTAACAGGGCTTAGTAATTAGAGACCTAAATACTAACCTGGGGTTTGCTAATATAGGCTGTGTCATGTTGGGGGAGTTACTTAACTTCTCTGAGCCTCAGTTTTATCATGTGGAAAATGGAGGCTAAAACTACCCATACTGAAAAATCCTTGTGAGGATTGATCATTAGGGATTAGGTAGTTAAAGCACATGGTATAATACCTGACCATCATTATCACATTCAACATTATTATCATTGTTATCAAATGTCAACTGAAGTTTGTCTTTTGTAGGTGGAATGTAAATAATAATACCTGGGTCGTAACTGAGGAACTAAAACCTTTAACAGTGAATTTGGACTTCCAAAGAAACAATAAAACTGTCTTCAAGGCGGCAGGCTTTGCTGGCTATGTGGGCATGTTAACAGGATTCAAACCAGTAAGGAATCTATTGTTACATAATTTTACAGGTAGCTCTCTGTGAAAGGTGTAGTCTAAGGAAATGAGGACCTAAAAGGAATATGAAGCCCCAGTTCATCGCATTGTACTTGTTGTTACCTTCCTTCTTAGGTTTGAGCTCACATGGTAGAGAAGAGTAGAAGTGGGGGTTTCGGAGCCTTTTGTGGAGATAAAGCATGTGGTGGGTCTCAAGGGCTGGGAGTGTAAATCTGGAATCTGACCATGGGTCTGCCCCTCAAGCAGTTTAGTCATTAAGTCTCTGCACTTAAGTTTCCTGGTCAGAAAACTGTGGCCAACAGCATCCTACCTACTTATCTCACGCAGTATATGTGAAAAATACTTTGAACTTCTAAAAAAGCTCTGTTAATAGAAGGTGATAGTATCATGGTTTTGATTTTTCTTCCCCCACCCCGGCTCAATTTCCCAATCCAGGACCTGATATAACAGTGTAAAATAGCACAGTGAGAGGGCCTTAAACAGGATGGTTGAGGTTTCTGACATTGCTTTGTTTTCTTTTCAGGGACTACTTAGTCTTACACTCAATGAACGTTTCAGTACAAATGGCGGTTTTATGGGTGAGTAGAGAGTTCTTAAATAAAATGGGAATTTCATAGCTGTTTTAAGAGGAGGGCTAGACTGTGCCTTCTGGTTAATAGTTTAATGTCTTCCAGGACCTGTGACACTGTGTGTGTTTGATCCCTTCCAGGTGTCATAGAATGGATTTTGGGAAAGAAAGATGCCAAGTGGATAGGGTTTATCATTAGATCAGTTCTGGAAAATAGCACAAGGTAATCTGTTTGGTTGCTTTATTATCACATTTAATATTTGTTATTTTTTTCTTGAGATACAGTTGACATATTAGTTTAAGATGTACTACAAGATGTTTAGATACTTGTATATATGGCATAATGATTACCACAATAAGTCTAGTTAACATCCATCACCTCACATAGTTACACATTTCTTTCTCCTTTTCTTTTTTCTTTTATTTTTTTATTTTTTTGCGGTATGCGGGCCTCTCACCGCTGTGGCCTTTCCCGTCGAGGAGCACAGGCTCCGGACGTGCAGGCTCAGCGGCCATGGCTCACGGGCCTAGCCGCTCTGCGGCATGTGGGATCTTCCCGGACCAGGGCATGAACCCATGTCCCCTGCATCGGCAGGCGGACCCTCAACCACTGCGCCACCAGGGAAGCCCTCTTTTTCCTTTTGATGAGAACTTTTAAGATTTGCAACTTTCAAATATGCAGTACAGTATTATTAACTGTAGACACTATGATATACATTACATCCCCAGGACTTATTTTATAACTGGAAGTTTGTACCTTTTTGACCCTTCACCCATTTTGCCCACCTGTCACCACCCGCCCCCAGTCAACCACCAGTTTGTTCTCTGTATCTATGAATTCCTTTGTTTGTTTTTTGATTCCACTTATAAGTGTGATCACATGGTATTTGTCTTTCTCTGTCTGATTTATTTCATTTAGCAAAATGCTCTCAAGGTCCATCCATGTTGTCACAAATGGCAAGATTTCATTCTTTTTTTCTGGCTAAGTAATACTCTTGTATATGTACCACATCTTCTTTATCCATTTGTCCTTAGATGGACACTTAGGTTGTCTCCGTAACTTGGCTTAGTGTAAATAGTGCTGCAGTAAATGTGGGGCTGCAGACATCTTTCTGAGTTCTTGTTTTCATGTCCTTCAGATAAACACTTGGAAGTGGGATTGGTGGTGGTGGTAATGGTGGTTTTAGCTTTTTGAGGAACCTCCATACTGGTGGTTTCATAGTGGCTGCACCAATTTACATTCCCACAAACAGTGCACAAGGGTTCCCTTTTCTCCACACCCTGGCCAACACTTGTTACCGCTTGTCTCTTTGATAATATCCAGTCTGACATGTGAGATGATACCTTATCGTGGCTTTGATTTGCATTTCCCACCTTCTCATGCACCTGTTGGCCATCTTTGGAAAAGTGTATATTCAGATTCTCTGTCCATTTTTTAATCAGGTTGTCTTTTTTTTTGCTCTTGAGTGGTATGAGTTCCAGATATATTATGGATATTAACCCCTCCTCAGATAAATGATTTGCAAATATTTTCTCCCATTCACTAGGTTGCCTTTTCATTTTGTTGATGGTTTTATTTGTTTAGAAGCTTTTTAGTTTGAGGTATTCCCACTTGTTTATTTTTGTCTTTGTTGCCTTTGTTTTGGTGTCAAATCCAAAAACTCATTGCCAAGACCAGTGTCAAGGAGCTTATTGCCTGTGTTGTCCTAGGAATTTTATGATTTCAGGTCTTACATTTAAGTCTTTAATCCATTTTGATTTTTGTGTATGGTGTAAGATAGTGGTTTGGTTTCACTCTTTTGCATGTAGCTGTCCAGTTTCCCAAACACCATTTATTGACAATGAGACTGTCCTCCTCCAATGTATATTCTTGGTTCGTTTTTCATAACTTAATTATGGGCTCTCTGTTCTGTTCCATTGATCTGTGTGTCTGTTTTTATGCCAGTGCCATTGTTTTGATTACTATAGCTTTGTAATACAGTGTGGAATATAATTATTCTTCTTTTTCAAAATTGCTTTGGCTATTCAGGGCCTTTTGTGATTCCACACGAATTTTAGGATTGTTCTATTTCTGTGAAAAATGCCTTTGGAATTTTGATAGGGATTGCAGTGAATCTGTAGATTGTTTTGGGGTAGTTTGGACATTTTAACATTAACATTTAACATTTAACATTAATTCTTCCAGTCCATGACAGTGGAATATCTTTCTGTTTGTGTCTTCTTCTGCTTTTTCAACAGTATCTTATAGTTCTCAGTGTACAGGTCTTTCACCTCCTTGGTTAAATTTATTCCCATGTATTTTATTCTTTTTTATAGAGATTTATATATATATATATATATATATATATATATATATTTATTTTATTTATTTATTTTTGGCTGCATTGGGTCTTTGTTGCTGTGTGTGGGCTATCTCTAGTTGCGGTGAGCGGGCTTCTCATTGCAGTGGCTTCTCTTGTTGCGGAGCACAGGCTGTAGGCACGGCCTTCAGTAGTTGTGGCATGTGGGCTCAGTAGTTGTGGCTCGTGGACTCAGTAGTTGTGGCTCGTGGGTTCTAGAGCGCAGGCTCAGTAGTTGTAGTTGTGACATATGGGCTTAGTTGCTCCGTGGCATGTGGGATCTTCCCAGATGAGGGATCGAACCCGCGTTCCCTGCATTGGCAGGTGGATTCTTAACCACTGTGCCACCAGGGAAGCCCTATTTTATTCTTTTTAATGTAATGGTAAATGGGATTGTTTTCTTAATTTCTCTTTCTGATAGTTCGTTATCAGTGTATGGAACCACAACTGATTTTTGTATACTGATTTTGTGTCCTGCAACTTTACTGAATTTATTATTCCTAACAGTTTTTTTGGCAGAGTCTTTAGGGATTTCTATATAGAGTATTATGTCATCTGCAGATAGTGACAATTTCAGTTCTTCCTTTCTGATTTGGATACCTTTTATTTCTTTTTCTTGCCTGATTACTCTGGCTAATACTGCCAATACTGTATTGAATAAAAAGGGCAAGAGTGGGCAACTTTGTCTTGTTCCTAATCTTAGAGAAAAAGCTTTTAGCTTTTCACTGCTGAGTATGATGTTAACTGTGGGCTTGTCATATATGGCCTTTATTATGTTGAGGTATGTTTCCTTTATACCCACTTTTTTGAGATGTTGAATAAATGGCTGTTGAATTTTGTCAAATGTTTTTTCTGCATTTATTAAGATGATCATATTTTTATCCTTCATTTTGTTAATGGGTGTATCAAATTGATTTGTGGATGTTGAACCATCTTTGCATCATGCTGTATGATCCTTTTAATATAGTTTATTTTAAATTACTCATATTAAAATATTTCCCAGCTTTATCTTCCACTGAGGAACTATTTCAGAATTTCTTAGGTCAACCTTTGACACTCATGGAATTCTTCATGTTTTGTGTGTGTATGTTTATAGCAAGAAAATGAAATGATTTATTTAAAAAGTTCTGGGGATAGTGCCCCTATGAAGGGCATCTATGAATTTTTCTTGGTGTAAAAAAAATCCCCACCCATACAGAAAAGAAAAATTTGTATAATAAAATCTTCATTTAGATCATAATACCCCGATACACATATGGTCACCTTATCTTTGATAAAGGAGGCAAGAATATACAGTGGCGAAAAGACAGGCTCTTCAGTAAGTGGTGCTGGGAGAACTGGACAGCTACATGTAAGAGAATGAAATTAGAACACTTCCTAACACCATACACAAAAATAAACTCAAAATGGGTTAAAGACCTAAATGTAAGGCCAGACACTATAAAACTCTTCGAGGAAAACATAGGCAGAACACTCTGTGACATAAATCACAGCAAAATCCTTTTTGACCCACATCCTAGAGAAATGGAAATAAAAACAAAAATAAAGAAATGGGACCTAATGAAACTTCAAAGCTTTTACACAGCAAAGGAAACCATAAACAAGATGAACAGACAACCGTCAGAATGGGAGAAAATATTTGCAAACGAATCAACGGGCAAAGGGTTAATCTCCAAAATATACAAGCAGCTCATGCAGCTCAATATCAAAAAAACAAACAGCCCAATCCAAAAATGGGCAGAAGACCTAAATAGACATTTCTCCAAAGAATATACACAGATTGCCAACAAACACATGAAAGGATGCTCAACATCACTAATCATTAGAGAAATGCAGGTCAAAACTACAATGAGGTATCAGCTCACACCAGTCAGAATGGCCATCATCAAAAAATCTAAAAACAGTAAAATACTGGAGAGGGTGTGGAGAAAAGTGGGAACCCTCCACTGTTGGTGGGAATGTAAATTGGTGCAGCCACTATGGGGAACAGTATGGAGGTTCCTTAAAAATCTAAAAATAGAACTGCCTTATGACCCAGCAGTACCACTGGGCATGTACCCTGAGAAAACCGTAATTCAAAGAGTCATTTACCACAATGTTCATTGCAGCACTATTTACAATAGCCAGGACTTGGAAGCAACTTAAGTGTCCATCAACAGATGAATGGATAAAGAAGATGTGGCACATATATACAATGGAATATTACTCAGCCATAAAAAGAAATGAAGTTATTTGTAGTGAGGTGGGTGGATCTAGAGTCTGTCATACAGAGTGAAGTAAGTCAGAAAGAGAATAATAAATACCATATGATAACACATATATATGGAATCTAAATTTTTAAAAAAATGGTGCTGACAAACCTAGGGGCAGGACAGCAATAAAGACACAGACATAGAGAATGTACTTGAGGATACAGGGAGGGGGAAGGGGAAGCTGGGACAAAGTGAGAGAGTGGAATGGACATATATATACTACCAAATGTAAAATAGATAGCTAGTGGGAAGCAGCTGTATAGCACGGAGATCAGCTTGGTGCTTTGTTACCACCTATATTATATATATATAATAGCTTGGTGCTTTGTTACCACCTTTTATATATATATATATATATATATATATATATATAT